CTTCTTTCAGAAAAAACAACATTAAGCACTTTTATTATAATAATGAAACTTAAATGAGGCAAGGAGAGGCTGCAGTTTAAGTATCTTTAAGTCACTGGGTTGTCAATTATTAATCACACAGAAGAGGAATCGAATGACAGAGAAGCTCCATTTAAGTCATTCAACATTTTGGAGCTAACGAGGTTTCTCGATTGGTTTCATTTAAATCAGCTCAGAGAATAAAGTAGCAGTACCATGGAATATAACTTAATGTGTGTTCTATAAATAGAGATTTTATAGTAAAATACTAAGCCACAGTATATGTACATAATTTTAAACTTACCTCCGTGTGAAAAGAATTTGAGGTAGGCTCTAATAAAAACGCAGTATAAAAGAATAGTGTATTACGCTACCGATTGTCACATAGTAAATCATCCATTAGTGTTTGTAAAATAATGAATTTTCAATGAGAAATCAGAAGTCAGCTAAAAGGTCAAAATATAAATAAAAAGTAGCTTAAAGTAGCTAGTGCCCTCAGGATAAAATTTTAGGAAAAAAAGCTTTCTTGCAAATCTTTTTAAAGTCTTATGCTTTACTCCTGAGGTGTTTACCCTCGAAAGCTTCCCAGTCGTGTGTAGCTTGAAGTAGGATAAATAACAGAAGGTTTTGAGTGTAATAGATTTGTGTTTGAATCCCAAATTTACCAATTACCACTTATGTGAGCTACTAAATTAAGTTCTGGAGGGCAGAACAGGTGTCTTATTCAACCTTAGAATCCCAGATGCCTCCCCCTCAACCCCCTGCAGGTATGGCACAGTTCTTTCATCAGCATAGGAATCTGATTACCTGGGGAAAGGAGTATTGTTAGTTTTCCTAGAGTCAACTTCTATGCGGATTTGGGTTATTTAAAAATGAAAGGAGAAAAGTAGGGTCACACTCAGAAACAAACAAAACACACACACATTGATGGGGGTATGCCAAAAGGCACAAAGGAGACTACTGAAAGAGTTCCCAATCGTCAAAGCTGCAACAATTTAAACAACGATATAAGTAATATTGAATTATAACCCAAAGTATAAAATAAATATTCATGCGTCTGCACTGATAAATGATTGAGTAAATTAATAAGTGAGGGGAAAGAGGCAAATCTCCCTTGCAGAAGAATTCCAAATAAATTATGTAGATACTCTACCCTTGAAGAAATAGAGCATAACCCCCACTCCTTTATTTTATGCAGCACATAACGACTTCCTTCCAGGAAGTATAGTATGGGAAAGGGGGAAAGAGGGGGAAATCTGACAAACACTACTTCAGCCAGATGATCAGGTGATCCATGTCAACATCAACAGACATGTCATGTTGATAGTATACACCCCTTGAAATGATGTGATGAAAATGGCACTCTGTTATCTTCTTCCCCAAATTCCCAACCTAATCATGAGAAAAACAGACAAATTCCAATAGAGGAACATCTTAAGTGCCTGACCAGTACTCTCAAAACTGTCAGTCACCCAAACAAGCAAAACCTAAGAAACTGTCACAGCCTAGACAAATCTAAGGAGACATGACTGCTAAATGTAATGTGGAATCCTGGATAGGAACCTGGAAAAGAAAAGGGACATTAGGTAAAAATTAAGGATATCTGAATACAATATGGCCTTTAGTTAATAATGATGTATCAATATTAGTTTACTAAGTGTAACAAATACACCATACTATTATAAGATAGTATGGGGAGAGAGTGGAGGGATATAGGAACTCTCTTGTTCCCATTTATCTGCTCAATTTTTCTGTAAATCTGTTCTGAAAAACACATTCTATTAAGTTTAAAAAATTAAGCATATGGAAAAAAGGGCCTAACAGTCCCCTCCCCCCCCAAAATAGAAACTTAGTAAACTAATGTCCATCAATTGATGAGTGGATAACAAAATGTAATATATATTATTTAGCAATAAAAAGAAACAAAGTGTTCATCCACGTGACAAAATGGATGAACTTTGAAAACATGATAGTAAGTGAAAGCTACTTCTCCTCAGAGAGCCTTTCCATGACCACTCAAACTAAAGTTGATTTTTATTTTTATCAGCCTTCTTAGGGATACCTCATATTTTTAGGTCCCTCCACCAAAATGTAAGCAATATGAGAACCTGGTCTTTATCTGTCATATGCAGTTTCAGCCCCAGCACAAATACCTGGGCAAACTGGAAGCTCTCTTAATAAATGGTTGTTTGTTTTTTTTTAAATGAATGTATTCTATGCTATACTATGAATATCTATGCAGCAATTAAAGAATAAGAAATATTTATATGCACTGTCATGGAAAGATTTAAGACTAATAGTTGAGTTAAAAAAAAAGCAAACTGCATTACAATATGTTTTATTTAAAACACGCATTATAAAAATACTTTCTTTGAGGATATTTATGACAAGTTCATAAGTTTCCTGAAGAAGTAGCTTAAGTTAAAGCTGTAATCACTGGAAAATCATTCACTTTGGGAAACAAGGTAAACCATGTGTGTGTAAGTGAAAAGAAACATCTCAAAAGACAGACATTAAACTGACAACATTGCTAACCCCTAAGAAATGACAGTGACTGAAAGAGAAAGGTCAGAGGAAACTGACCTCATCTGTAATGTTTGCGTTTTCACAACACAAATGTATTCATGCAATACTTATGTAACAAAAAACATTTAAAGATCAATACGTTTTAAAGGAAAAAACAAATATTTGAGTTAATATAGATTTTTAAGAGTATAGATTAATATTACTTCAAGCATTTCTCCCACAACAGGACAATTAATTATAAGTCCTTTGTCCTGATCTAAGAGAGATGACAAACTATTTGCCAAGGAACATTATAAAGTATTACTGTGACTATATTATTTAGAAAACAAATAATTAAGTTGTTAGGAAGAAACATCTACCTAGGCTCTCTATTGTGTGCCAAGAGCTCAGTTGGTGCATTAGAAGCCTATTTAATCCTCACAACCACCTTGAATTGTTGATATCACTGTCAACTTTATAAATAAGGAAACTCATTTCAAAGAAAATACTGTGCCCAAGATTAGAAGCAGCAGAACTAGAATTAAAGCCCAGATCTGACTCAGAAAGTAGCTGACTTTTTTTTTCCAGTTAGAATTCCATTTTATCTTTTCATTTTTTAGCCGTTGACTTTTTATTGGGCAATTTGCCAACACAAAATAAGCATATTCTCTCAACCATGAATTAAGACAACAGATTCAGGAGGCAAATGAATGAATATAGAGAAGTTATATATAAAAGATACAGAATGCAGGGAAAAGGAAAAAGATAATCTAATCAATCGGCCAGCCTCCAACCACTGGAACCATTCAAGATACACAGATGTAATTCTTCCATTTAAAATGCTAAAAAAAAATTCAAAAAGCCATTTTGAAAGCCTTCTCTGATATTTAATGATGACTAGTTTGGGAAAGCTCTTCTTGAAATCCATCTAATGTTATTTTCCTACAATTTATGCTGGCCTTTAGTAGAAATAGGAAAAAAGTAAGCCATTGTATACTTACACACTAACTACTTATATAAAGATCATTGAATTATCAAAAGTTTCTGCAGTTATATCTGAAGGTTTGTACCTAGTCACTTTTTATTTTATATTGAAACTTTTAAAGGTTCAAAAATAACCAAGATGAACTTAATACCAGTAGTAAATAAAATCTACTTAAAACTAAGAGATGGTTTCAATTAATTTCTTTGACTCAGACTTCTTCCACTTATAAGTCTCTAGCCAAAACAAACCTTTTATTTCATTTAATAAAAATAGTGACATTTGTTTTCAAAAATTTTTGTCAACAAAATCATACCTATGCAACAAACTTAAGTTCTAAAGGAAAATGACAATGTTGAATTAAGTTTTATCAGCATTATTATAAATAACTTCCATGGGTAAGAAACTCAACATATGTAAACTCCGAAGCCAACTCTTAAAGATATTTTTGTATTTCTATTTGAAAATCTATTTAAAAAAAAAAAAAAAACTACAGAGGATATTATTATATTTATTGTATAAGTGTCAAATACTTTACAGTACTTATTTACTATATCTTATGTATTTTATAAAATAAATATATTTTAAAGTACACTGGAATTCATAACAGAAGTAATGCAAAAAACAGATAACTGAAATATACCCAGTAAGAAAACTGATTCCCAATATTATCGTCCAATCCTTTTGATAAGAAATGCTTCTAATGTTATGGATACACTTGATCTTTGAAATGTGTTGTCCACCGCTTTTCTGTTTCTGTCACAGTAGCTATAAATAGTTGTTTAAGGATATCCTTATCTAAATTCCTGCCTGCAAACAGAACAAAATGTGGTATGATTATACTTTGCTTATTATAATGACACAGTTTACCTATCAATTCCAAATCTTTAAATGCTTGATCTTCAGAAATTTACAAAAACAATAGTATCTGAGTGATTCCTTCCTTAACTTTCTGGTTAAGTCCCCCAGAACCCAATTAACATTTGGATTAATCACTTTTCTAACATTGTTTGAAGAGTTAAAGGTCTAACAAGTTCTTATGTTATCACATGATTAAGACAAATACATTAACCACAATCTTATTTAGTTTTAAACAAGGGATTCTAATTGGTTAATACTGCTTCTCCTTTCAAATATATTTTTTGCTTTGCTTTAAAATTTAACTCTTTGTAACTAACCAATGAGAACCAATCGATTTGTTCTCTCAGTGTCATCTTTCCAGCTCACTGGAGTCTCCTCCAGATCATACAGCTCATGGACACCTTGAACAATCACTTGCTGTCGTTTGTCTTTGATAGACACCAGCCCCTGGTCAGAGGAGAATGAATAGTCAGCCTTATTTTGAACTGAAAAGCAGACATCAAGCACTGATTGATGTTAATAGATTAATTTTTCCTACTCCTTTTTAAAATACAAACTTATAAAGAAGATGCTGTTAAAATTATTTATTTCCAGTTATTTGAGCATTAAAGAAGTAGTTTCTTAAAGCTTTCAATTTTTAAAAAGGGTTGTGCACATTGATTTTTTTCTAATGACAAAATTAATACATGTATAAGGATGTTCTTTCAGTGTTATAACTAAAAACTGAAACAACAAAAATGTATTAGATTCTACTAATTAATCTATTTTTAAAAATTGTATACTTTTCACAGTTTTAGTGGAACATTTGAGAAGTTAAAGGAGTTTGGTGATAAATCATTTGTTTTTTAATGAGTTGCAACATATGGGGTAGATAATGATGAAATAAAGAAAAAGACTATTATGTTTATCTGAATAAAAAGTTCATTTTATATGATTTGCAGAAATGAGGGACAAATTATCTAATAAACTGCCTCCTATAGAGATGAAATCATTTCTCTGAAATTTGTTATACATAGTTGTTAAAAAATTGATAAATATTAAAAAATAAGAGACAAACCACTGACAGTCATTTTAAACATAATTTTTGTATATTTTTTGTGTATTTATGTATTTTGGGTGTTATGTTTTTCTAGTTTTTCTTTTCCTGTGCCCAGTTGTGTTTTCTGGTTCTTTCCCCCAGTTTTATTGAGAACAATTGACATACAACATTGCATAAATTTAAGATGTACAACATAATGATTTGATTGTTTTCTGCTTTATAAATTTGAATTTTAATAATAAATAAGAAACTCCTTGGAAAGAATTACCCTAGCATCAATTTTGTGTTACTTGTATACAACTCTGAAGCATTAGCTGTTACTAAACATTTTAAACATGCTGATTATATTGGACTACTATGTGTAACAGGAAAGAGTAAGAAGTCTGTGGAGATAAAGACTGTGTTGTTCCAGATTCACTCAGTGTTGCTGTGATGAGAGGAAGGCCAAAGGAGGAATCAAAGAGGACAACTGCAGAAAAATTGTCACATAGCTAAGGACAAAATTCAAACCGAGATGGTGCAGGATGAGCCACTGAACTCTGTGTAGAGGTCTTGGTGGCAGCATTAGTATAGTGCCCAAAATGGCTGCTTTCTAGGTACCACCTCCTATTCAGTACTATGGGATATATGCAGTTACAGAATGAAATACGATCTACCAGTTAGGATGATGGAATGTAGATGGTGCTACAGTCATTAAAACAGCAGGATCAGCTGGGAAGGGTTTGAGATTCACCTGTGTTGCTCCGCAACACCAATCCCAGCGAGAGCCAGCACAGGGAGTGAAGAAATCTCAACCTAAATAGTTTCTCCATAGTCTCAACCTTTGTCATTCTAGTGACCCCAGGAAGTCAGTCCCTAAATGGAGAATCTAGTTACTAAAAGTAATAATAATAAACAGTAATAATAAAAAGTATATGCACTTCTGGAAACAAGAGCAGACACTCAAATGATTGCTAATAGGTTAAGCACACAACCTAGAACCACTGCCCCTTGGAAAAAACACCTTTTGAGACATAAATACCAAAATGTCAAGTATTATGAATGGGTTTCCAAACACTGAGCAAGAATTCTCAATAGTCTTTGGTAACTTTTTTATAATATGACAAATGTTTAGAGTCTGCTAGATGCATTAAGAAGCATAAGCTTCATCTGCAGCAAGATTTCTAATATTATTTCTCTGTTAATCAAACTCTCTTGGAAAAATAAACACAAGAAAACATTCAGTTTTCTCTAACTGACCAAACTATGTGCTAAAGGAGGGAGAGTTTCAATCAGTCAAGCACAACCTAAACTGCTCAAAACATCTTGGAGTAGAGAGCATGAAGTAACATTTCAAAGCCCACAGGTTGTTTTAGCTGCAACACTAAACAAAGCTGTACAAAAAAATCATGTTTTATGAAGTGATTTCCAAAGCTTCTTTTCAGTAATGGAAATAAGGAAAAATGTAAATAGGCAAAGGTTATTTGTACTAAAACTGGTGCTTCTGTTTAAGACCAATATGATTTTATATAACAGCCAAGAAAGAGACTTTGTCCAAAAGTATAAAACTGTATACTGCACCTTTAGTCGTATGACCTCCATGCAGTCATCATCCTTGTTTCTCACATTCTTTTCCCATAGAAGATTCTGTATTGAGTGACATATTTTAATAAGATCAACCATTGCTACTAGCAACAATGTAACAATACAACTGATAAATCATTAATCAGTTAAATATTGTATTCACCTGAATAAATACATTTAGACTTTCTTCCTTTGCATTTCCTGGTACTTCAAATGTGACTGTAATAATACTCTGTAAATCAAGAGAGATAATAATGATTTTTATAGTAATGTCAATATAGTTTTTAAAATCATAAGTTTTAAAATGAAAAGCAAGGAACACATTCATATAAATTTCTGTTGCCTAACCATACATATTAGGTATATTTTTTCACTATTATTTGCCAATTTTTAGTATCAGCAACTCTATTTTCTGTAGTCTGCAGAGTTAATCAATAGTTCAGCATTTACACAGAGAAACTCATGAAAGGATATACTCATCATGTAATTCATTCTTTCCAGGATTCCCAGCACTAAGAGGGACTGTAATACATATCTATAGTGTATCAGCTACATACTGAGCCAGGTACTTTTGCCTAGGTCATCTCATTTCATCTTTTATTTACTTGTGACAACAATCCTGTGGAATGAAGAGAATGATTGCCATTTTATAAACCAGGAGAAATAAGGCTCAGAAAAAAATAAACTACCCAGAACCAGGTGTAAACTCAAAAGCAAAATTTTAACTCTGTTCTTTGGAAAAACTAAATACTAAGGAAAGGTTTGGTTTATCTCTGACCAAGCATGTGCCAAGGGAAGAAGAGTTCCTAGAGATGAGAATAAATAGTAAAATGTCATCTTTGGTTTAGAAGTTGACATCATTATTAAAGGTTAACTTGGAGACTTATTTTTCCTCCTTATCTTAATAAATCTCATTGTTGACTCCAAGAAACCAGAAGCTTTAGATTTTCTCTAGTCAGCTGCATAATTAAAATCCAAAACTCTATTTGTTACTGTGACCCAGAATTTCAAACTAAATGATGAAAATCTTCAAAGGCTAAAAACCCAATAAAAACACAACCCCCATCTTGGATAATGAGAATAAGATACTCAAGCCAAGTTTTAAAATAGGCAGAAAGAACATACTAAAGCACAGATTTCTATCATTTCCTAGAACCACGTATCTTAACAGCAATTTTACTCACCAGTAGAAAATCAAAGACTTATAGTAGAAAATATGAAAAGACCAAAACTGTTTTTATCCAAATATAGTTAGAGAATAGCTAAAGGTAAGTATTAAAGACCAATGTAAGCACAAAATATATTGGCATTAGTCTCTACTATTGTTAGTTAGTAGGAAAAGCAGATAACACTTTCTAGACCTGCAAGTTGACTAAAATTGGACTTAAAAATGTCAGAATTTTAAGAGTATTTACTCTGTTGCAATGGCCAAATGGTAGAAACTATGTAACATTAATGGATGAATGAATAAAGAAAATGTAGTACAATAATGTAGTATAAAAATGCAGAATAATAGAACATTATTCGCTCTAAAAAAAAAGGAAATCCTGTCATATATTACAACATGGATGAATTTTGAGGACATTATGCTGAGTGAAATAAACCAGTCACAGAAGGACGAAAGAACATACTAAAGCACAGATTTCTATCATTTCCTAGAACCACGTATCTTAACAGCAATTTTACTCACCAGTAGAAAATCAAAGACTTATAGTAGAAAATATGAAAAGACCAAAACTGTTTTTATCCAAATATAGTTAGAGAATAGCTAAAGGTAAGTATTAAAGACCAATGTAAGCACAAAATATATTGGCATTAGTCTCTACTATTGTTAGTTAGTAGGAAAAGCAGATAACACTTTCTAGACCTGCAAGTTGACTAAAATTGGACTTAAAAATGTCAGAATTTTAAGAGTATTTACTCTGTTGCAATGGCCAAATGGTAGAAACTATGTAACATTAATGGATGAATGAATAAAGAAAATGTAGTACAATAATGTAGTATAAAAATGCAGAATAATAGAACATTATTCGCTCTAAAAAAAAAGGAAATCCTGTCATATATTACAACATGGATGAATTTTGAGGACATTATGCTGAGTGAAATAAACCAGTCACAGAAGGACAAATACTGCATGATTCCACTTATACGAGGTATCTACATAGTCAAACTTATAGAAGCAGAAAGTAGAATGGCAGCTGCCAAGGGCTAGGGAGAGGGGAAAATGGAAAGTTGCTATTTAATGAGTACAGAGTTTCAGTTACGCAAGGTGAAAATGTTCTAGAGATCTGCTGTACAACAATGTGCATGCAGCTAATAATACTGCACTATACACTTATAGATTTCCTAAGAGGGCAGATCTCATGTTATGTGTTCTTTTACCACAATTTTAAAAAGTTTATTTTTAAATCTTAAACACTGCTTTTAAACTATGTTTTTATAAGTTTAGAGTAATAGTATGCATTTAAACAAAACAAGTCTTTCCTCTTCAAAGCAATACTTACAAATACCTAAAACTCTATATCAAAATGTATAGCAAATCACATCAAAACACATAGCAAAAGACTGCCAAGTAAACGTTATTTGTCAGTTTCAAAGGACAGTAGTGATTTAACCTTCAAAAATGCTAAACATGTCTTTTATTCAAGTTGGATAACTTGGTTTTTAATATTGAGAATGCCTCAATATAATACTCAATATTGCTTTATTCTTAAAGAATTTTATATCAGGGAATGATTTTTGCTTTCTGAAGGTTAGAGATATGACAATATTTCTAAGGGGTTCAATTAACTTCAGCATGAGACTTTTTTTAAAGTTTTAAAAATTAAGACAATGCATCATGGGGCTCAAGGAAGGAAATACACATTTTAAAACCAGAAGTTTTTCTATACTCTTCTCACATTAAAAAACCCTAAAAAAGATGAAATCCATAAATTCTCAGGGAAAAGATAAGGGTCACAGCTCATTATTCATAATTAGCCCTACTAATTAAGTATGTATAGATTGCCACTCAGGTTTTCTTATCTACTTTCCCATCCTCCAACCCCAGGTCCTCCTTATAGGGAGTGAACAAGAAATCCATGAAATATAAGAACTGCACCAAACATCATTCAGAGATACACTATGTCGTAGGTAGTACCCATTTCAGACTTTTTTTTTCCAGTTTATTTTTGTTTTGAATCTAAAATTAACTTCTCCTTTAACACAGAAAGAAATAGAAAACTGAGACAAGTAATTCAGAAAACTAAAGTAAAATAAGGTACTGCTGTTAAAATAAAATTTAGGAATAATCCCTAAATTTTATGAATTTGTGTTCGGCTTGTTTTTTCTTTAACCTATTAGGTTATTTCCATTTTCTACTATTTTGCAAACAATATCTAATATGTAATAACTTCTATGTTTTCTTCATCTAGAAAACTAAGCCCACTAACATGCTTAAACCCAAAACCTGCATCTCCATACTCCAGTCCTCCGCTCCTCTTTTCCTGTATAATCTCTACTGTGATATCCTGCAACCTGGTAAACAGCTGACTATTTGGCGTTTTCATACAAATCAGTTTGCCTTCCAGATTTCTCTATTTCTAGGCTCCTCTAGTCAGCAGTCCCTAACCTTTTTGGCATCAGATATCAGTGTTCCTATGAGAATCTAATGCCTGATGATCTAAGGTGAAGCTGAGGCAGTGATGCTAGCGCTGGGGAGCGGCTGCAAATACAGATGAAGCTTTGCTTGCATGCTTGCTGGCCGGCCTGTCGCTCATCTCCTGCTGTGCGGCCCGGTTCCTAACAGGCCATAGACCGGTACCAGTCCATAGCCTGGGAGTTGGGGACTCCTGTTCTAGTTAATCTAGGCTTGTTCCCCATCACTTCTCTCTCTTCTTACTGCTCCATCATCAGTTCGTTAGGTTATTCAGACAAGTCTACCTGTGAAACAAATGGTGCTCAGTTTATCCCACTTCTATTCTCAATGTAACTAACATAGTTCAGGCCCCCATTACAGAGCATCTGAACTTCTGCAATATCTTCCTGCTTGGTTTCCCGACTCCACACTCCAATACAGCTCGCCTGACACTATCTGCTAGCACAGTATCAGTTCTTTATGCCTGGAAAATCAAAGCCAATACCAGAATCCCAGTACTAAGCATTCACCAAGACTTCTGTGCTAGAGTTCTACTCTTCTAGAACATTTTCTCTTTCCCACTTTTAAACACTTGAATTGTTCTTTCCCTTACTTTAACTTCCAGATCAAAAAAAAAAAAAAAAAATTTACCAGTTTGAGGTTACTTTTTTGGTATAGTCAGAACAGCAGTTACCTCTTTGGGAGAAGGTTACTGACTGGGAAGAGGCACAAGGGAACTCTCTTAATGGTTTTGGAAATCTTCTATATCTTGATCTGAGTGGGAATTGCAGAGATATGTGTTCACATATAAATATGGACAGATAAGCAAGTTACAATATATGTGAAGATATGTTGACTTATATACTAAAAATGCATTATACTTTATTTACAGTATATAAAAAAATACTATCTTTTACAAAGCCTCAGATCTAAATCAAATGAGACTGTTCATGCTTCTCAATTACATAGCCCTTTGTCTGCAATAACAGTATATCCTGTACTATGTTCATATATCTAAAGCAGGAAAGTGCATCAAAATCTTCTGTAGATCTTTAAAAAAATAGACATGCTCTAGTTATTGATGAAATGACATAATGTCTGGGATTTGCTCTAGCAGGGATTATGGGTACATGCAGATTCATTATACCATTCTTGTTATATGTGTGTTTGAAATTTTCTTTTTAAAGAAGTTTAAATAATACTGCAGCAAAAGAAATGTTGGGAAGTTAGATGAAATAAAATCGGCAAAATGTTGATGGCCATTGCAACTCAGTCATGCATACAAAGGGTTCATTTTACCATTCTACTTTGTATATTTTTGAAATCTCCCAAAATAAAATGTTAAAAATGTACATATACATTAATATGTACATACCCAAGGCCCATTCCTGAATATACAAGGGGTAATGACAACTGAGTATCCAAGTTTTTTTTAAAAAAAGCTCTAAAATTTATTCTGATGTACACTCCCATTTGAGAATCACAGTTTATCATTCTTTTAACATTCACTGAGCACCCACCATATACCTAGCAATGAGGATTTTTAAGGAATTGACAGACTACTGTAAGAGAAAAGGATTTCAACACAAACTATAAGGCATTATAAATGCCATGATAGGGGTACATTCAAAATACTTTTTTAGAAATAGTTTCAATAAAACAGTCCTAAATAGAACCAATGCAGTTAAAGAAATACTCTAAAAATATTTTAAGATTTTTTTACCTGATCAAGGTGAGGTTGTGTTGTTGGCAAATGTTGAAGTTTTTTCTGTAAACTAAGAACAACTGATTATAAATTCAGAGATCAACACATTTCTGATTTAACGTTGTACACTTCTTGGAGATACAAAGCTAAATAAGGAAGAGAAATTCCACAGTTGAATCTATTATATAGTTTACATGTAGTTCACATATTCTAATAGAGAAAAGCTGGCAGACTGTTTAAAAACTTTTTAAAAAAAGTACATACATTCACATGCATACATATATACATAATATAAAGAAAAATTAATCTTTAGCAACATTATTTTGTGTGGTTAAATATGTCAGTAGATTTCTTTTTAATTCCAACAGATCTAACACAGGCCTAGAATAATATACATAAGCATTTACTATTGCTCAAAATTTCATCAACTCTCCCTATGCTTCCCAATATGAACATGCTGGTACCTAGAAAAAATGTTAGAACAAGTTTTCTCTTATCAATGTTTTCCCTTGAATACAACTACTTAGTAAAAATAAAGAGTATCCAGAAATATAAACCTTCTAGTCAGTTACCCATAGTTGAGAGAACATAAGTCAGAATCTTAAAAATGCATTGTTTTCATATAAAAAGAGCAAGAAGATCAATATGGCATAACAAATTATAACCATAACAACTGTAGCATACATTTAGACACTGATGGGGGTAGGCTGGGAGAAGGAAAGGACTTAAAACCTTGCAGATGTTTTGCCATAAAGAACAGTGAGGGGTAAATTAGTAACAGCAAGTTTAGTAAAGAGAAAAGGCTTGTAGGCACTGTTGGAGAGAATGAGTCTCACTGGAGGGGGGTAGTAGGGAAGGAAGTGTCAAATTAAAATCTTCCCAGCTGGTTGCTCAGGAAAGGATTTTCCTGTTTAACAATTAAGCACAATGAAAAGTTATGCAAAGACCTTATCTATAGTGGGCATCACATTAAATGGCTACTTCTTTAAATGTCACTAATGCATTAAAACTGTTCTTAAACAAGTGTAAATTGATATCACCTTAGAATGCATATGC